GTAACTGGTTTGGATTTTCGGTATCTTACAGGACCATACTCTGGTATTTTCCAGATGTTCAAACATATATAGCCTGTTTCTCAAGTGTGTGAAAAGGCTTCCAAATGAGAAATAGATATGCCCTCTGAAAGGAGCGGCTGTTTTCACAGTCTGTGGGTCGGGGGAACAGTAATTGGACAGAGTAACAGTGGGGTGCAGGGGAACCTGTCCCTGCTTCTAGCAGGACAAGGAAGAACAGATGGGTAATACTTTGTAACTTCCTTGTCTAATCCGGTACTTGCTTCCTCCCTGTTCCACTCCATCCCCATTTCTCACCAGTTCTGATAGACCCTTAAAGACTCTGGCTTCTCCTTCCTCTGGAGACATGAGAGCCACGTAAGGAAGCAGAGAGGGAACTGTTGCATTTTATCCACATGTTGATGTACTCACTGTCTTTCGTTCCCTGCAGGACTTAATAGAACTTCATGCCACCATTAAGTGAATCATGGGGCATAAATTTCATGCTGGATCCTACAGTTTTTCTAGCTCCACTAACTTTTGATCCAAGACCTATTGAGAAACAGAAATATGGGAAATAGAAACACGTGACCAGAATGAGCGAAGATTTTTAAACATTGTTAATGTGTGATAACTGATATATATATATATATATATGTATATATATATATATACACACACATATATATATATACACATACACACAAAAACACTTGACACCTGGAGGTTTAAAAACTGAGTAATGAGCTCACCCCTTCGTATTCTGGTATGATGTTGGGACCTGGAAAAGAAAGGCAATACCTAAAAAGAAAGGGGTTCTGGTAGCATAGTGCCTAAGGCACTTGACTGCTAACCAGAAGCTTGGCGGTTCAAACCCACCAGCCACTCCCCAAAAGGAAGGTTGGGCAATCTACTTCTGTGTGATACTGCCTCAGAAACCCAAGGAGGGGTCACTATGAGTCGGGTCTGACTCGACAGCACATAACAACAACAACCTATAAAGATAATATGTAAAGTTATTTTTTGTCCTCGTGCATGATTGTATATTTCTAGTACTCTGTGTATGTATGGAATTGTTATTTCCAATATTTATATTAGAAAAATGATACAGATACTTTATGACTTTTAACCATCATTTTTAATAATAACAGACTCTTGATGGATTATAATAAATTTCACTTTTAACACACACACACACACACATTAAAAAAAAAAAAAGAGGAGAAGGCCCTCAATGAGATGGATTGACACAGTGGTGCAGCGATGGGCTCAAGTATAGCAAGGATCGTGGAGCTGGCGCAGGACCGGGTGGTGGTTCGTTCTGCTGTGCGTAGGGTTGCTAAGAGTCAGACGACTCAACGGCACCTAACAACAACAACAACAACAAAGGAACAGTTTGGGGACTTAAGAGAGAAATTAAGGATGATTTGGAGAGAAATTAAGGTGATCTGGGGTTAAAGAAATGAGTCATTCAGGAAACCTCAGGGAGAACTGGATAAAATTAAGGGGAATTAAGAGCCCAGATAATGAAAGTGTTGAAGGAAAAGTAAGAGTTTGAGGGAAACTGGGAGAATTTGAGAACACCAAGACCGTTTGATTAAATGAAGGAGGGAATGTAGGGGTGATTAAGGGGGAAACATGGGAAATCTTGGTGATCCCAAAGGCAGAGTCTGGAAGGAGAATTTAGCAAGAGCCAGGTATTCATGGAGCAGGAATTGGGGGCCGCAGTTCTGTCTCTCCCAGAAGGCTCTGGGCTCAGTCTCTCCTGTCCTCTCCTCTTCCCCAGCCCCTGTGCCTGGTAGCCCCGGCATGGAACAGGGGCACCAAGGGTGTGCGTGGCCTGAGCAGGACGGTGGCCCCCGAGGGCAGTCAGAGGAAGAAGAGGACACTGTTCCAGTTCCTGTCTGACCACTTCTACGATGTGCAGGCCCTGAGGCAGTACTTATTCCAAAAGCAAGCGTGGAAGGTTCACCGGGAAAATCGGTGAGCACCCACGGCCTGCGTGACCTTGCCCAGACCTATCTACTCAGGCCTGGAGAGTCGAAGCCCACATCCCGCTGTCTCCCCTCCCAGGGCCCACATGGCCTCAGGGAGCCCCCTGCCCACTCCTCCATCTTCATCTCCAGCCAACACCCTTCCCAGCCCCTCCATACAGGCAACTGGCTGCCTGCCACCCCTACTTGCAGGTCGGCATCTCAAACCTAACATGGCCAACACCCAACTCTTGATTTCCCCTTAAAATCTGCTCACCCCTGAGCCTTCCCCATCTCAGTAAACAGCACCACACAGCCCACCTGGTTGTTTGGACCAAATATAAAGGAGTCATTTCTGATTCCTCTCTTTGCTTCTCTGCCCCCCAGATCCAGTCGATCCATAAAATGTCAAACCCCAAACTAGACTCACTCCCGTGGAGTCGATTCCGACTCACAGCACCCCTACAGGACAGAGCAGAACTGCCCCACAGGGTTTCCAACACTGTAAATCATGCAAGCAGACTGCCTCATCTTTCTCCCACATAAAATGCCAGAATATTGCACGTTTGCCCAGCTCACGCCACCTCCGCTTTCCATGGTCTAGTCTGAGCCCCTGCTTTTCTTGGCTGGATTACTCCAGTCATCTGACTGGTCACCTTTTGCCCACTATATTATAGTCCAGAAAGCAGCCAGAGGACTCTTAAGAACACAGAACAGATAACATTACCACTTTGCCTAAAACCCTCACATGGTTGTTTTTGTTCATCTGCTTTGTGTGTGTGTATGTGTGTCATTTGGGTAGAAGTTCACAGAGCAAATTCATTTTCCATACCGCAGTTCACACAGTTCATACACATTTTGTTTCATGACACTGACTGCAATTCCCACTTCCTCCCCATAGTTACCTCTTCCCTGTGTCCTGCCCTCCCATGCACTCCTGCCCCCTGATCTGTCTTCCTGTACAAACACCGCCCTCTGTTCTCTCAGGATTGATTGCTCCAAGGAGTGTATCTACCTGATGCTAAACCCCTCACGTGGTTTCTGATTGCAACTAGAATAAAAGTCAAACTCCAAGGCCTGAAAACATGGGTCCTACTGACTTTGCAACCTTTTCCTATAAGCGACCACCCCTCACACTCCACCCCACCATCAGCTGGCAGGGTCTTGCCTTGACCTTGGCATTCCTTCTCACCACTCAGATCTCTGCTCAGATGTCACCTCCAAGAAGCTTTTTTTTTTTTTTTTTTAATTGTGGTGAATATATACCACAAACAAAAACAAAAACACCTCACTGCCATCAAGTTGATTCTGACTCACAGCAATCCCCATTGGGTTTCCAAGACTGTAAATCTTCATGGAAGCAGATTGCCTTATCTTTACGGAACAGCTGGTGTGTTGGAACCACTGACCTTCTGGTTAGCAGGCAGATGCCTTAATTGCTACACCACCAGAGCTCTGGGGAATACACAGGGTAACAAAGGATTTGCCATTTTGTTCAAGAAGCATTTCCTGACGCTCAGCCTCCATCAGCCTCCTGCATCCTCACCACCCACAAAGATACGCCCAGTCATTCCCCTATCTTATTTTCAAGGTGAAGCTGACCCTGCAATGTGCTATTTCCTGGTTTGTTATCTGCCTCCAACACATCAACTCCATGGGGCAGGGCCTGTGATCTGCCTTGGTCACCATTGTGTCACCCAGTGCCTAGCACTTAATAGGCCTCACTCAATATTTATGATCCGACTCAGTCTGTCAGGTTGCCTCAGCCCTAGTGCTCTGGACTCTGACCCATCGGTTGAGGGATGGCGACAGGTGCCCTGTTCCCAGGCCTCATCCCCCCTCTGATTTTCTCGGCAGATCTTTCACCTACATCCAGAATCAATATGGCCCGTACGTCGCAGGTGCCTTTTTCATCCTGAAGCAGGGAGGCGCAGTCAAGTACGACAACACAGGTGTTGGAGTGGGGGTAGGGGAGTGACGGAGCAACTCCCTAAGATCTAGGCTCTGCAGTCAACAGATTCCCCATGCGTCCTGGGCTCTGCCGCTGCCTACTGGCTGTGTGGCTCGCGGGTTCTTTGGGGCCTCTGTTTTGTCATCTGTGAGGTGGGATGGTGAAGTTTGCCATGCAGATGAAATGAGATGTCGCAGTCTGAACACTTGTTGCGAGGCCTGGCGTCACACATGCGCCCCGTATTTGTTGTTTTCGCTTTTCTTCTTCTCTTTTCTTTCTTCCTTCTCTCCCGACTTCCTTTCCCCCCCTTTTATTTTTTAACTGTTTTCGAAAAACATAATTCATGTCGATTTCATTTTCTCCCATGTTTGTTCTAGTTAAACTTCTCCCTTGGTTTGAGCACCTCCTCCAATTACCTCCTTGGAAATTGGAAATGGCATCCATATCTAAACCTGTCTCTTACCTTCTGTCCTTCAACAAGGGCTCTTCCATCCTAGCTCTTTCTCTCATAGGATTGTTATCAGTCATCTGTGCGACCCTCAGTCTCCGGGTATATAAGATGGTGAAACAGTCCATCTTTGATAAAACCATGCATGTAAAGTCCTTAAGACAAGGCCTGATACGTAGTAAGTGCCCCAAACAGACAATAATTGTATTACATAGGAATTAGGGGCCTGGGGTGGGGGTTGTCCCACTCTGTTCCCCTGCTGACTCCCTCTTCCCATCTCTAGGTTTCAGGGCCATGAGTGGATCAGGCCAAATAGACGTGGCCATTTCTCTCTTGACTTCTTGAAGTTCCAGGCGGTACCTGTGGAGGGTGTGGATGCCAGTGGCTGCACCCTCAACTACAATGGCCTGGCCAACCTGGGTAAGTGGGGTGCGGTGGGAGGGATACGGGCAAGGCCTCTGCGTGGCTCCCTGTGGTGGTGAAGGTCTTTGGTGCCAGCCCTGTTCTTCCCACTGCAGTGACCCTGCAGCTCCGGTTCCTCTGGCTGCAGCGCTGCCCCCATGTGGATGACTGGTGTCTTAGCCGCCTCCACCCACTGGCTGACTCGCTGCAGGAGCTCTCCCTGGCCGGCTGTCCCCGCATCTCCGAACGGGGCCTCGCCTGCCTGCACCACTTCCAGTAAGCCCCCGGCAACCACCACCACCACCAGCCACCTGCCCAAGCTGGGCCCCTACCAGGGCATCTCCCACCCAGCCCAGATGCAGGGGAGAGAGAGTGAGCCGGGACTGTGGTTGGCAGTTCCCCTTCCCCCTGGCCTCCATTACAGCCTAGGGTGTTCCTGGTGGGTGGGCACAGGTGAGCAGTCAGGTGGATCTGTGGGAAGATGAAAGGGCTCCTAGTTTTTCTTGCTTTTTTGTTTTCTGTCTTAATGAAAACTCAATGATGTTGACACTGCTGCTGAAAACAGCCAGAGGTGTCTGCTTGTCATAAGCACAGTGGATCACGTGTACTTTGGGCAGACAGCTCTGCTATTCGCTGGGCAGTTACCAAGATTTTTTTTTTTTTTCAATTGTGGTAAAAATGTATATAACAAAACATCTGCCAATTCAACAGTGTTTATATGTCTCATTCAGTGACACTGGTTACATTCTCCGTGTTATGTAACCATTATCACTGTTCTTTTCTGAATTAGGAGCTCTGGTGGCGCGGTTCCTAAGGCACTTGACAGCTAACCGGAAGGTTGGCAGTTCAAACCCACCAGCCGCTCCAGGGAAGGAAGACAGGGCAATCTACTGCTGTAAAGATTTACAGCCTCGGAAACCCAGTGGGGGTCACTATGAGTCAGAATCGACTTGATGGCAGTGGGTTTGGGTTTGGTTTTGGTTTTGGTTCTGCTGAATTCTTCCCTCACCATTAACATAAACTCACTACCATCCGAGCAATAACGCACCTCCCACCCTTGGTCACCACCAGTGAGCTCAGATGCCTACACATTTGCATGTTTCACGTCAGTGAGGTCATCTGGCATTTGTCCTCCTGTGACTGCCGTATCTCCCTCAGCATGATGCTTTCAAGGCTCACCCACGTTGTGACATGCGTCAGAATGTCATTTCCCTTTATGGCTAAGTCCTAGTCCGTCGTACAAATGTATCACATGGTGTTTATCCATTCATCTGTTGGTAACACATTTCCATTGTTTCCACCTTTTCACTGTTGTGAAGAGTGCTACAGCGAAGGCTGGTGTAAAGATTTTTGTCACATTAGGGAGCTAAGGGTTGAAGTGGGGTTCATACACACGCTGGCCTTCATGCTGGCCTCCTGGCCTGCTTCCCTCCTTCCAGGAACCTCCGCAGGCTGGACATCTCAGACCTCCCTGCTGTGTCCAAACCCGGCCTCACTCGGATCCTGGTGGAGGAGATGCTGCCCAACTGTGAGGTTCTGGGGGCCGACTGGGCCCAGGGCTTGAAGCTGGCACCAGAGGAGCAGCCTCAGGCCACAGCCAGCTCTGTCCCCACCTAGCCTTCAGCCCTTCTCCATGCTGCCAGGTAAATCCCAGGCTCTGCTCAGCCTGAGTCATTGGAGCCAATAAACAAGAGACTGAGGTGGGAGAACCAAAGGGCACTGTCATTTCTTTGGCCAAGGAAAGGAACAGCTAGGGGTAGTGTCTCCCAAGACTGCTCCAAGGAAGCCTCCTTTAAACTTAAGTACAGTTTATAAGATAGGAAGTCGTACGAAATCATGGGTATATATACAGGTATAGTTAAGGTTCCATACCTCTCTAAACACATATAGAATATAATAGAAAGATGGCGGCTAAACTCCACTCAGAGGTGGAAAGGTTAATATTCTAGAGCACTTCGTGACCTGAAGGTCACCTAGGGTACTAGATGTCTGCCACACCCACTCAGGCTGGTTTGGGCTAGTCCAGGGAGGTTGGTGTAAGCTGGACAGGGTGGCAGGGGTGGGCACACTTAGCTGTCCTACTTGTCTTATAGGGTCAGTATGCTCTGTCTTACCCATGCAGGCTAGATCTCAGCCAGCCATGTGGAGTGGCCAGCCACTTGCTCCCCACGGCTCTGCCCTTTGGCTTAGGTTGGCCTCCTTCAGCTCAGGGAGGGGAGTGATGGGACCTGGTCCATCCTGCACGACGGGAAAGGCGAGCGGAGTAGTCATGTAGTCCAGGGGGATATTATTTCCTGCCTTGGGGGTGCCTTGGCTGGCTGCACCCTTGGCTGAAGGTCACAGCTCCTGTTAGGCAACCTTGTCCACACACTTTTCTCCTTCCCAAGTTCCAATAACCTCTCTTCCTCCTGCCTCCTCAGGCCTGGGGGAGGTGAAGGCTCCCCACCAGGCCCCCCAGGGCTGCACTCGTCTCTGTGGTTGCTCTACGGCAGCCCACACTTTTAGGAGACCCTTCTCAGGTTCCCCTCATCTGTATCTGCTGTTTCCTGCAGGGACCCTGGCTGACACAGGACAGTTCTTCCCTGGGCAGGCCCGTCAGCTCAGTCCATTGCAGGGTGTCCAGCATCCCTTGCCCCCACTCACTAAATGCCAGTAGCACTCCTTAGTCCCATGGCTAGTGATTTACTGACTCTCAGCTCTGAATTCAACTCTTTTGTCTGCTCTGTGAAAATGGATCTGGGCCCTTGAAATATTTTTCCTTTGCCAACTAGCATGATGTTAAGCTTTGTCGGTAGAGGGTGCTTGAGAAACATTACACAAGAAAAGGCTTTTGTTTCCTGGTTCTGAAGTTCCTGTTTGTGCTATCAGGGGCCCCCACAGCACATGCAGCTTCCTCTGAGCCCAGCAGCTCCTGTGACTTCTCCAACACCTGGCTGTGTAGTACTAGGGGGCCAACAGCTTCCCCCAGCTCACGCACTGGTTACATAGAGGGGCCTCATTGTGAACAGCACTTCTGCACCCCAGATAGCAGATTTCCAATAAGTTCCAAGGCATCTTGCTAGCCAGTCACTCATTATTCCAGTCCAGTATTATCTTTCCATTAAACTTGCCCTGTTCACATTTCTGTGTGTTTCTTCTCTCCTGAGTGGATCCAAACTGATGGAGCACTGGTCCTCAGAGTGTCCCAGGGATGGACTCACAAAGATGGGATTTGGGATTTGGTTTGGCCGTGCCTTTGGGCTTGAGCATAGTACCAAGCTCCATGCCAAGAGGAAGTGAGAGGCCAGATACCCACGGCATATAGTGGCATCCATCACAGGTGATCAAGCTGTCACCGGCATTGGTTGTGATGAGGGGCCAACTGACGCACATGCCCTGGGACCCCTAATGACCCTAAAGACTAGGGTGTAAGCACTTCTGAGTGCTTACAAATAGAAAATGTCAAGTTCAGGACCATTAGCTCAAGTCATGGTCTGAGAATCAGAATGCTTCCATGACAGCCCTAAAGAAGTTCTTATTTCTTATAGCTGTGGGGCTGACATTACCAAAAATCCAACACAAAAGTTGATTTGCAGGTTGTTGAATTATGACAGTTGGATTAAGAGTCTGCACAAGTTTCTCATATGAAAGGGTATTGGTGGGTAAAGAAATCTGGAATGGGGACATCTAGTTGGACCCAGAGAAAACAGACAATCTTGAACACCAAATTACTGTGTGACTCCCCTGCCAGTGTTTGAGAAAACCACCAGCCTTCCTGGGCTTGATGCCTTGACAGGAGGTGTCTTAAGACTCATCACAACCAGTGTTGGCTTCTTGGCCATAGCCAGCTACCCATGAGGAAGCAAGTAGTTGGACCTGTGGGCTCGAGACCATGGTCACAGGGGACATCAAGCTCAACTGGCATAACATACTACACGAAAACACTGTTGTACATCCTACTTGGGTGAGTAGTCGCTTGTAAGAGGCCATCTAGATGCAACAATGGGTCTGTCCTCATCCAGAGCAAAGAAGAACAAAGAAAACCAAAGATGTATGAAAATCATTAGTCCAAGGGACTGGGAGACCATGTGATCCTCAGCCTATATGACCATGAGACCAGAAGACCTAGATGGTGCCCAGCTACCACTGTCAACCAGTTGGAGGTGGGAGATCAGTGCAGGAGATCCTGGATAGAGTAGGAGAACAATGTGGAAGGAACAAAATTCAAAATCATTTTAAAACAAAACAAAACAGGTTTACTGGTCTAATGGGGCCTGGTGAGACCCCTGAAACTATGGCCCCTAGTTACCTTTCAGGTCTGGAAGTGAACTCACTCCTGTAACTTCCAGCCAAACAATAGACAGGTGTATGGGGTGAACATTTACATCAGCTAGATATAATCCTTGGAGCAATCAGTGATCAACTGTAAGAGAACAGAAGGGCAGTGTTTGCAGAGTGAGATAGCGGGGGTGGGGGTGTAAGGGAGGGAAGGACAAGGAAGAGGTAACTATAGGGAGGAAATGGGAAGAGCTGTTACATTGTGGGGAATTGCAGTCAATGTCATGGAACAAAATGTGTATGAATTGCTATATGGAAAATGAATTTGCTCTGTAAACTTTCACCCAGATCACACACACACAAGGCTCATCATAACCAGCTCCTGCTGCCACCAAGTCCACATATAACTAGGGTCAAGTCTCAGCATGCTCCAGAGGGACAGCACACTATGAACAGGAAGGAATAGCTTATTCACCAACAGAACTGCAAGACTTGGTAAACATATACCATCAGAAACCGGGAAATGTGTACAGGAGAAGATTCTATGAGTGTTGGACCAGTGAGAGAAATCTAACACTAGATGGGTCCAATCCATTGTACTTACTAAATGTGTACTAAGTAGAGATTCTGGATTTAATGGGTTAGCTTGTGCAGCTGGAGGTGGTTCTAATAGCTTACTTGGCCAGCTGACTGGAACTTGGACTTAACAGTGGCCTGTAGTTAATGAGGTTGAGAAGCCAGAACTGCCCTGGCATGACATGGAAGACAGAATCCTAAGGCTTAGGGAAATCGAATGTTGGACTTGATTTATCATGTTCCACCCACCACCGTGTTCCACAAGCAGGCACCTCTCACTAGCCAATCTCTCTGTTACAGTTAATTCCCTGTTACACTTAATTAGTCTAGAGTTCCCTGTTCAAATGGCTGTGTGGTTTCTCTCTCCTGATTGGATCCAGACTGATGCACATAGCAGCCAAAAGCTTCACCCTCAGAAATTTCCAAACGCCCCAGGAGGGGACTACCATCCCTGCTTGAGAACCTCGGAGCCTTTGGCAGAGCTAGATAAACCGCCAGAACTCATGTAGCCCTTACCCCGTATCTCAGCCCTGGGCTGGGGGATGGCGTGCTTGGGAACCCCCTCCAGGGGTGCTCAGGCCCCTGTCCCCACCCCCTGGCTGCCACTTCCCACTCCAGCTTTCCCTAAGACTGACCACTTCCAACTCTCTCTTCCTCCAGCTGTTCCGACGGGCTCCATTATCCAAACTGGGCAGGAGGGAGGAAGCGCTGAACAGATAATAAAGCTGTTGACAGACAGGGTCCTTGAAATGATCTGGGTGGTCTCTCCCTAACCCAGGGTGGGGAGAAGGGTCAAATGAGGCTTAGTGGGCGGCCTCTAGTCCAGAGATGTCCCCACCCGCCTGCCTCCCCAGACAACTGATCCAGCCCCAACAACTGAGGCCTCTGGAGGACAGGGAGATAAACACAGGCAGACGCCCTCCCTGTCCCGGGGGGGGGCCCGGATGTGAGTATTCCAGGAGTCACCGAGCAGCTGTGGGAGGGGCCAGGGCTCCAGGGCCCAGGCTCGGGGCGGGAGGTGGGGGCGGGGCAGGAGTGGGTTCCCTGCGGGAGACCCGGGCACTGAGGAACAGGGAGGAGGTGCAGGGGTTGAGTAGGTCCCAAGGCTCCCTGTCACCTGCTCCTTCTCCCCATTTCAGTCTGTTTCTTCGTGGGTCCCTTCTCCAGCTCTGTGTCTGACTCCTGTTCTCGGACTCCCTCCTCTCTGCCCACACCTGTCTCTCTCCGCTGGCCCCTCTAAATCTCTGCTCACCCCCCACGGGGGCTTCCGGCTACCGTTCCTCCTCTTCACTCTCCCGTCTCTTCCCTTAGCTCTCCTGTCAGTCTCACCCCTCTCCCCTCTTCCCCTCTCTTCCCTGCCTGCCCCGCAGGTCTTTTCCGGCTATCTCTCCCCACCACCAGGATGTCTCTGTCTCTCTCTCTGCGGCCCTCCTCTCCCTCTCCTCAGCAGCCCCTGCCCCACCCCCTGCCCTGACTCCGAGCAGCAACCACAAACATCCCCATCTCTGGCGGAGCCCATCCATTCCCACTCAGCACATTCATGACGCCTTCTTGCTGAGGCCTGGCGCCAGCCCCTCAGCCTCCCATCTCTGCCTGCTTAGGACTCGGCCTCTTCCAGGGTCATTCTGACACCACCCGGCCCAGGCTCAGGTCTGGACCTGACCTCACCCTCCCTTGAAGGCCCCCTCCCTGACCCCAGGCCCCTGGCTCTCCCCTCCAGGCCTCGCAGAGTCCGCCTTGTCTCTGTCCACCCCCTGCACCTCCTGGCGGTCTCCCCAGAAAACCAGCCCCAACATGCCAGAGCCCAAGTGCTCAGGTCTGGCGCCCGCCCGCCCTCTCCTTCCCCTCTCTCGGCCCCGCCCCGGCCCCTCCCGGCCCCTGGGGCCCTCCCAGCCTCTCACTCCCTCCCGCCCCTCCGGACTGGCTGGGCTGGGCTGGGCTGGGCTGGGCTGGTAGACCGACGCACGGACGGGGTGAAGGGAGACCTAAGGGAGGGCCAGACCAAGGTCCCGGCGCCCGGAGGTGGTGGGAGCCAGGCCCAGAGGTAAAGAAGGAGCCAGATGCCTGGTTCCCCCAGTCCCAGGGGTGTGGGCTGCTGGGGAGGGAGGTGGAAGGAGCCACCCTCCTCGTGCTAGGAATCAAGTGATCCTCATTCCTGGTGAGAGGAATGAATGGGGGAGGAGGGTTGTGGGCAGGAAGGGCCGGGTCCCTGACCCCTGGGCGTGGGATCAGGGTGTTAGGTGAACTCCCCGGGATTCTAGGAAGGTGGTACGAGTTACAAGAGTGGCAAAGAGCAGGAGGTTGAAGTGGGATTGGAGTGGGGCTTTCCTTGGTGCAGGAATAGGGAACAGTCAGGTCGCTGGGAGGGGTGGGAAGCCCCTGCCGAGGGAGCCTGGCACTAGAAACTGGTACAGGGGTTGGCAGGGTCTGCCAGGAGGCCCGGCTGGGTCCCCTCTGGGGGCTCATTTCTACACTGCAGAGGTCGCCGTGGTTCCCTTGCAGCTCCTGTGGTGGCCCCTGCCCTGGGCCAGGTCATGCGCTGCTCCAAGTGCCTTCTCTGCCTGTCAGCTCTGCTCACGCTCCTGGGCCTCAAAGTGTACATCGAGTGGGCGTCTGAGGCTCGGCTTAGCAAGGCCTACCCAGGACCCCGGGGCACCCCACCAGGCCCCACGCCAGCCAGCTCTGAGCCCACCCTGCCTGCCAACCTCTCAGCCCGCCTGGGCCAGACCGGGGCGCTGCCCTCTGCTTACTGGAACCAGCAGCAGTGGCGGCTGGGAACTCTGCCCAGTGGGGAAAGCACTGAGGCAGGGGGCTGCCAGGCTTGGGGGGCTGCTGCCGCCACTGAGATCCCTGACTTCGCCTCCTACCCCGAGGACCTCCGCCGCTTCCTGCTGTCGGCAGCCTGCCGTAGCTTCCCACAGTGGCTGCCTGCAGGTGGTGGTGGCCAAGTGGCCAGCTGCTCAGTGACAGGCGTCCCCTACCTGCTGTTGGCTGTCAAGTCCGAACCAGGGCGCTTCGCAGAACGACAGGCTGTGAGGGAGACGTGGGGCCGTCCAGCTCCTGGGGTCCGGCTACTCTTCCTGCTGGGGTCTCCAGCAGGTCGGGGGGGCCCTGACCTGGGCTCACTGGTTGCCTGGGAGAGCCGCCGCTACAGTGACCTGTTGCTCTGGGACTTCTTCGATGTCCCCTTCAACCAGACACTCAAGGACCTCCTGCTGCTGGCCTGGCTGGGCCGCCACTGCCCTGACGTGACCTTTATCCTGCAAGCTCAGGATGATGCCTTTGTGCACATCCCCGCCCTGCTGCAACACCTGAGGGGCCTGCCCCCAACCTGGGCCCAAGGCTTGTACCTGGGTGAGGTCTTTACCCAGGCCATGCCCCTCCGGAAGCCTGGAGGACCCTTCTATGTGCCTGGGTCCTTCTTTGAGGGTGGCTACCCGGCTTATGCCAGCGGGGGTGGCTATGTCATTGCTGGGCGCCTGGCACCCTGGCTGCTGCAGGCGGCAGCCCGTGTGGCACCCTTCCCTTTCAATGACGTCTACACAGGCCTGTGCTTCCGCGCGCTAGGTCTGGTGCCCCGGGCTCACCCAGGTTTCCGCACAGCCTGGCCTGCAGACAGTGCCACTGACCCCTGCGCTCTCCGTGACCTGCTGCTGGTCCGGCCCCTCAGCCCCCAGGATAGCATCCGGCTCTGGAAACACCTAAAGGACCCACAGCTCCAGTGCTGAGCCTGGGTCAGGAGGGCCAAGCAGGCACGGGCCCTGGGCCAGCCTTTTCTGGGCCCAAACAGGGGGAGAAGATCCTAGGACCCAGGCTACTTGAGCCACTCCTGCCCTCGTACCCAGGCAAGGGGCCAGGGCCAGGCCATGGGGCAAGATAAAATGGGCGACTGATTTTGTCTACTTTTTGTTTTTCAAAAACATTCACCCTCGACTCTGAGGTTTGGCGTTGTTTGTGTCTGCGGGGCCCTGGAGTGGTTGATGAGTGGACACATGAGATGCCCCCTTCTGCCAGACTGGGCGAGGCCAGCTCCAGTGGGTTCCCTGGACACCAGGCCTGCTCCTCCCCACTGCATGCGAGGGCAGGAACCCACAGAGGACCTCACGGCCTACCCACCTGCCAAGGTTATACCTCCAGCTTGTGAAAGTTTCTAGGGGAAGTAGATAACCCAACGGCCCTGGCCTTATTTATCTAAAGTGGAGAGAGAGAGGCTAGGGGTGGTCCCAAACCAGTCATGCTGGACTGTCCCCACCAGCCCCCAAACTCCAGGAAACAGAGACCAGAGATGGCACAGAGCCAAACGCAGAGAAACCGTTTATTCACGATCTCCGCTGACCACTTCTCTCTAAGTTCCACAGGTCAACCGGCTAGGTCACGCCCACCCCAGCCCAGAGGGGCCCCAGCTCAGGCTTGCCTGGGGTGAAGGCACTGTAACCACTAGTGAAGTGGGGCTGATGGGGGCTCAGCAACTGCTACGACACTGTCCCCATAAATGTAACAGCCTGGAGCAGAGAGGGGGCTCCCATCGGGACAGTTCAGAGGTTGCTCTGGCCCCTCAAGTATGCGGGAGGGAGCTGGCCGTGGGAGGGAGCTGGTGCGGGAAGGGCCGGTGGCATCCTGCCAGCTCTTCCTCTGCAGAGTGTGCCCACCTCTCAGGGTGGCTGAGGGCGGAGGGGGAGGGAGGCGGAGGAGGGAGGGCCAGGGCTCACTTCTCGAAGTGGTCCAGGGGGTAGTGCTCTCCGTAGGTCTGCAGGTGGCGGGCCAGGGACTCCTGCTGTTTGCGGAGCTGAGTGGGCATTTCCTGATACACGTCCGAGAAGAGCAGGCTGGGGTTGGGCTTCAGCTTGCGTTCAGCTTGCTCAAAGGCCTCCATCACCTGGGGGACAGCAGCAGTGGGCAGGCAGCTGGCTTCCCAGCCAGGGCCTGGAGAAGGGAGCCCTCCTCCTATTATGGGACCTCAGTGAGGACAGGGGAGATGACCATCCACTTAGCACTGACTGACCAGGCACTGACCGTGTGTCTGGATTCATTCACGCCCCTCTGCAGCCCAAGAGGCAGACAGCTTCGAGATGAGGACAGTGAACAGAGAAGAGGAGGGACTTGTCTGTGGTAGTGTAGTTAGGGGCAGAGCCGGGACACTACAGTGCTGGGCCTGCTCTTACCACTGGGAAGCAATGCCCCTCTGCTCCACCATGGCCAGAGCTGGACACACTCAACTCCATGTGGATTTAGTCAGCTGACCCTCAAACAACCTTCAGAAGCAGGGACCACTGGTCTCCCCCTCCCGAGATGAGGAAACTGACGGCAAGTGGCACACAGCTCAGACGCAGCAGAGGTGTGTGCGGCCCAGGCAGCCTGGCTCACTGGGTCAGGTCATGCCTCTTGTTGTTGTTGGGTGCGTCGAGTTGGCTCCGACTCATAGCGACCCCACGTACAACAGAACATATGGCCTGGTCCTGTGCCAGCCTCACAGTCCTGGCTATACCTGAGCCCATCATTGCAGCCACTGTGTCAATCCATCTCCTTGAGGGCCTTCCCCCTTTTCATTGACCCTCCACTTTACCAAGCATGACATCCTTCTCCAGGGAATGGTCCCTTTTGACAACATGACCAAAGTAGGTCAGATGAAGTCTGGCCATTCTCACTTTCAAGGAGCATGCCGGCTGCACTTCTTCCAGGGCAGATTTGTTAGTTCTTTTGGCAGTCTGTGGTACTTTCAGTATTCTTAATCAACACTACAGTTCAAAAGCATCAACTCTTCTTTGGTCTTCCTTATTCACTGTCCAGCTCTCATATGCATATGAAGCAATTAAGAATACCATGGCTTGGGTTAGGCACAGGAGCTCTGGTGGCGTACTGCCTAAGGCATTTGACTGCTAACCAGAGGCTGGTGGTTCAAACTTTGAACCCACCACCCACTCCTCAAAGAAGATTGGGCAATCTACTTCCATAGAGATACCGCCTCGGAAACCCAAGGAGGGGTCACTATGAGTCAGATCCAACTCGATGGCAGTGGATTTGGTTTTTGGGTTAGGTGCACCTTAGTCTTCAAAGAGCCATCTTTGCTCTTCAGCACTTTGAAGAGGTCTTTTGAAGCACGTTTGCCCAGCACGATACAATATATCGTCTGATGTCTTGACTGCTGCTTCCACTGGTGTTGAATGCGGAACCAA